CAGGTGTGCAAATAAAACAGTACCAAATTGTTATTTTTGCAGTCAGAGATAGCACTTAAACCCTTTAACCACTGCACTGGCCAATTAGAGCAGACACTGGCCTGTGGCAGCCCCGTGTTGGCCTCATGCTGTGGTTGCTGAGTACCAATGACCTAGCTGCTAAATTATAAAGATTATTAAGGCCAGTGGAGGGACAGCTCTGAGAGTGTCAGATAAGAGGGAGGGTCTCAGAGGTGAGCCTGTTTACCAGATGGTAAGCAGGTATTCAAGTTGATTTTGTCCCAAGCATGGCATAGTTAGCTACACATGCCCTTCACTCTTTCTGCCCCCAAACACGTCTCCACTGCTAAAGACGGGGATCCACACAGAACTGCCCTCTCGTCACTGGCAGCTCGCCGCACTAGCCCCTGCCTGCTCCATGGGCTTCTCTGGGTTACTCTATTAGGACTTGCAGCTCTAGGCTAAGCAACCTCATTGGCTCGGGAGTTGGTTCTGAGTCTGCTATGCACCTGACAACTATCCAGGTGAGTGGAAATCACACTGACATCCCTTCTTTAGCTGGGGGCTGGGCAGAATGAGTTCTGGGAAGACAAGGCCAGGTCCTCAAGATAAGACAGTTGACCTGGGTGGTTGGTAGGTTTGGGGCATACAGGCCCTTGGCGTGTCCACAGCCTTTCCACTCTGGCTCCGCCAATGTAGGTTTGGATGTTGGGATGAATATGGTATAGGCACAGGTAAAGGTGTGAGTGGAGGTGCTGCCTCCTTGCTTGATTTGAGAATATCATGATTCTGGTGCAGGCCAAAGCCAGAGAAACGGTACTCGTCACATAGATCTGTGGTGAGCTGTCCCCACTATGCGTTGCCCTTTCTGGGCCAGGCACAAGTGTCACTACCGGCTTAGACAGGCAGTTGAAAGAAAAGAGACCTAACCCTTGGCAGAGTCTTAAGCTGACAAGACACCAGGAGTTTGCAGAAGTGATCTCTGGTAATTTTTATGGTGCTGTATTCTGCTGGTTATGTGCTGGCAAAGGGCAGTGGGGACAGGGAAGTGGGCATCGCAGGTCTAGGTCAGACCCCCTTTCCCTGCCTCCTGCTCCTAGCATTTCTTATTACCATTCTCACAAGGGGCCAGTTTCCAAGGACAGAATGAGAAGGCTGAGTTTGCATCCACTCAGTAACAAAGAGATGAGGAAGGTGCTGCCATACCCACTGCCCTGTGTCATCCTCCAGCCGCGGGCCTAGCCTGCGCAGGGCAGAGCTGCCTCTTTAGCGCCACTGTTTCTATAGGCTAATGAGGGCATTGTGTGAGCCACGGGCAATGATAGTGGGATATTAACTGTGACAGGAAGCTTGATCATAATTATCTTAACGAGGATAGGGTTAATTACAGTGGAAACTCGAAAGTTTCCTCTGTTTGACTCCACTAGAGCCAAACACATTCTGCTGTTTTTGTCATATTGATGTGACTTTGGAGAAGGCACTAGGACTCTTCCCAGGACAACCACAAGCTCCTGAGAGAGCCCAGTGTGCAGGATGGCCAAGATGGTACCTATGGGTGTGGTCAAGGCGGCTTTCCCATTAGTGCAGAGGGAAGGATACAGCATCCTGATCTGGAGATGCTGATGAGCTTTGCAGAACAAACCCCCTGCCCTGGAGTGGTCCCACCTGGGTCCCCACGCCCTGAGTGGGGTGCCTTCATACTCTCTACTGGTTTCTCCCAGTGGTGTAAGAACCCCGTGACTCCCTCCGGCTTCCAGCTCACACCTCTCAGGCATTGCAGCTCCCACGCAGGGAATCACCCTGCAGTGACATCAACTCTCCATGAGGCTCTCCCTTTGGAGGGTGCATTTTGCAGTTTGCACGCTTAGACCACATTATCATCTTCCCTGTAAGCTACCAATATCATCCCAGGAAAGCAAGTGCTGTGCCTGGACTTCCACAACCTATTTTTTTTTTTAACCTTGTCATTTTCTACAAGAGTGAATCTGGTATGCAGGATATGAATGCAAACATCGTTGCAAGAAACTCCTTCCCGATCATTTCTTCTGGAAAGCAGTCACGGGAAAAATTTCAAAGTCAAAAGAGTAACCCTTTTCTGCTGGCTTCCAATGCGCCATTGGAATGCCACAAATTCTTTCCCTGGTGCGTCTCCTTCATGGCGTTCCGAGCCTCCTGCCTCCAGTCCCGCAGTCCTCTGCTTTGTAGGGCCAACAGAAAGGATGAGGACAGGACTTTATTTATCACCACCGTCCTATATAGCCCAGCTCTCCTTTTACTGAGCACTAACGACATTCCAGGAAGAAAAAGGAATCTGGCAACCAGACGAGAGACAGGAGATTTGGTGGGACTCTTCGCCGAGCCCTCTCTCCCTTACAGCCTGGGCTGTGGGAGAGAAGCTGCCGTGGTGGGCCAGCTTGCGGTGTTCTGGCCTTGGCCTTGCCTCTCCTCATGCTGTGTCATTTTGTTTTCTGCTTCCTGAGAAACAGTCTGGGAAGGGAGCTGTTCTCTGCTTGCCTGTTGTCAGCCCTTTGCTGATTCTCATGGCAAAAATACAATATTTGCAGAGCATAACTTGGAACAGTATGTATCTGAATGTTGCCTTTGACCAGGGCCCATCTGACGCTGATGCACAAAGAACTTATTAGCTTTCCCCCATCAGAAGGCTTCCTGATGGGGGAGGGGGGGGAGCTCCACCCCCCCCCCCCATGGCAAGCAGAGACCTAGCCCTGAAACAGTTGTGGTTAATGATCTTGGCTCACTGACTCCCATGGAGAAAGGGGCTCATAACTCTTGGTAGAGAACTTGATTTTATATTCGGTCCCTGATCCCCAGAAACCCAGCAAGCAGACCCGGTGAAACATGCCCATAACCCCATTAGTGGGATGGTCTAAGCAGGAGGATCAGAACTTCAAGGTCATCCTTGGCTACATAAGGAGTTTGAGGCAAGCCCAGAATATATGGGAGCCATATGCTAACAGACAAACAAAAACAACAAAAACCCTAACAACAACAGCAACAAACAGACAAGGACTTTAGAAAGCTCACAGATTCCCTGCACCCTGGACTTGGGGATCGGCCCACTCTCTTAGATCACAGCTTCTGGATAAGCCGATGGACCACAGGAGGACTGTACCGACTGGCAATACACAGTCAGAGTTTGGAGTGGAGGGGAGCATGAGGCAGTTGGGCACAAATGTCCCCCCAGTCTTCCTGAAATCCTCTGAGCTAGGAGACACATAGAGCCAGGCTTTCAGTACCCCGCTCAGGTCGCAAACAGTCGGAGAAGCCGAAGCCAATCCCCATAGCCCACGCCTAACCCCCCCAAAGGACAGAGGTTTTAGTTTTTGTTAGTTTGTTTCTTGTTGTTTTTCCTCCCAGAAGTCTATGAAATAGGATAACTCTTACACAGAAGCGCACGCCTGTTTCGGGGTTTTGTGTTGGCCCCGGCAGCAGTTAGCGCTAACTTCAGAACCCTATGCTCTGGGTGCAGGAACCAGAGAGGGACCACGCGAAGGTCTGTTAGACGCAGGACATGGAGATGGGAGCGAGCTCTGGATCCAGTGGATTTAATGATATTCTCTTACATATCTCAAGGATAGGACCCCCACTCTCAGTCCCCCACCCCTCGTTTTGGTTTTGTAGGCCCTCCATCAGAAAGCCCACCAGGGAGCCATGACACCTCGGGAAAGCTCCCATGCTAAATGTCGCTGCCTGGGGTGCACCCAGAACATGCCCAAGGTGACAGGGTCGTACTATTGTTGCAATTAGTAACGGCTAGTGCGGCTGACTGATGCCATCCTGATCTGCTGTACTTTATAGACTAGCCAGGGACTGAATGTGTGTCGTGTCTTCCCTTCTTGGACTCCGTGGCTAGGCCGGCTCTGCCTGTGCAAACTCAGCACATCTCCTGGGCCTGGCAGGTGAAGAAGCCGGGTGTCTGCGCAAGCCCTGGGACTTTCAGCTCGCTTTAATTAACATTTGTGTGTGCCTGGGCAAGCATTTGTGCACAACAGCCTCGTGCTGTGCACCACCCCAGACACTCACAGGAGCCCCTGAGTGCAGAGCTAATGTCGGACTACGCGGGTAAACAGGGCCACCTTTCCTTTCCATCACAGCATTTTTGTCTTTGAACCTGATGCTTAATCCTTTTCATTTACTGCCTGAAAATCTACATTGCTGTATTCCATGCTTAAAGAGCCTACATTCTGTAAATTAGAAGTTGAGACTCAGGGCTTTGGAGCAGGAGTTCTCCCAGGCCTCTGTCCCCACACAAAACCAAGATCGAGTAAAAAAGAAATCATGAAAGAAGAAAAAGCTTTCTGTTGGCCTGGAGTGATTATGTAATTCCTCCCTGTCGGGCAGCCACAGGATGCTAGGCAGGAGCAAATTCAGTGATTAGTTTTTAAAAAAAAAAAAAAATTGGAGAAGGGGAAAAAGGAGCCGAGGGATGCAAGGGTGCTAGGGAGAGAAAAGCCCCTTCCTGGCTGCTTCCCCGGCAGAGGAGAACTGCAAAGAAACGATACTTGAAGTTATATTTATTATTGTAAGAGGGGTATGAGATTTCTAGGCAGGAATGATGGATGACAGCTTAAATTTGTGTCCAGGGAATGAAGGTGAACTGTGACAGAGTTATTTATCTTGGGAATGGAGGTTAGGGTCAGCCCAGGCTGGGTGCCTGAAGGCACAAGACATTGACAAATTTATCCTGCAGGCCGTATCTGAAGCCCTTTGTTTTGGATCCTGGCTTCTCAATAAGTGACCCTCATCCTTCATGTTGGCAATTCGTGAAGGATGCAGTGAGTGCCAGCGGGGGCCCCCTTCTCCCCCTCCGCCCCCACCCCGGCTCCCTGCTACTAACTCTTGTCATTCACTCCGCTGACAGGCACCAAGCCCAAACTATTCCCAGTTCTGAAAGGGAAGGTTAAAATATTTATTTCAGCTCATAATGGCCTCTCTGATTTACTGCAGGATCGTTTTCCCCCTTGCCTTTGTCATTGCAGGTCACTGGAAGGACTGAGCGCATTCAGAAGCCTGGAGGAACTCATCTTAGACAACAATCTACTCGGTGACGACCTCGTGTTGCCACGGTTACCCCACTTGCACACCTTAACCCTCAACAAGAACCAAATATCCTTTTTGGCACCCAGCCTGCCCGGTCCCTGCAGCACCCCACTTGCTGTCCAGCTCCAAAGGGGTCCCATTCTGCCACCCCCAAACCCTTCTCCGCAAAAATACCTGCAAAATGTCAAATGAGTTTTATGTGTCAGCTAAATTAAAGTATGTGAAATACAGTCGGTGGGCAGACAAAGCGTTCTGTCTTCTGGCACTCAAGACACTTCAGAGTAATTTATTATAGGTCATTCATAAATGAAATGCACCGTTATATCTTCCTGTTGCTCCATTTTAGTGTAGAGATCTAAGTTATGGCTGCGAGGAAATCTTTTTAATAGATAAAAATAGAGAAAGAAAATAATGTCACGGGTGCCTGGGAGGAAAAGCTGCTTCTGTCTGCCTGGGCTTGTGTAGGAGGGCGACCTCTGGTGGCCATCCGTGGGTAATGCCACTAAGCTTGCTTAGTCTTTTTAGGCTTCCATAACCGTTTTGATGCAGGTTTGGGGAACAGTTCTGGAAATCAGGAAGGGAGAGAGCGCTCTTCACTCTTGGTGGATACAATCTTGGGTGTGATGACAGGCCTTTGAGAGCCATGGTAGGTTATGGCCTCCTTTGAGTAGTTGGGTACCTTCCTATCCTGGCATAAGAATGTGAAGCTAACCACCCTGGATTCTATAGTGAGAACACACTAGAAGACTTCTCTAACAGCGTAGGGCACATCACCCCTCCAGTTCCAGTGCTCTGGGTAACCAGGTACTGGGATACTAGCTCCACTGGCAGGTGTTTCTGGATCCTCCCTGTGCACAACTTTGCCTGGCAGGGTTCACATTCCACAGATGTGTGTGGGATGAACAACACACTCATTTTCACTAGGTTCGCACTGACAGCCATGGAAGCCATGCACTGTGCTGGGGACTTTAAGCACCCTACTTTTCATTCTTACCAGGACCAATGAGGAGTATATAGGTTTTCCATTTATCTAGTCTTAGAAACTGAGGTTATGTATCAACTTGCAGTCAAACCACGGACAAGACAGAGACGTGGATACAAGTTCAGTCCCAGTCATATCCAGGGGTTTTTTTTTTGTCTGTTTGTTTGTTTGGTTGGTTGGTTTGATTCTGCTGCATGGCTTTGGACTTGGAGCCCGACTGCCTGGTTTATTGATGTCAATCACTTGTTCCCACTCACACAATGAGTTAGAAACAGAGAACCAGCATTATCCCCGCCCTGGATATAAAGTAAAAACAGATTCATGTGTGAAGTTCAGTGTGCATAGTTATAACAGCATTTAATATGCTTTGAAAAATTATTTATTAACCCCCATTGGTGCTTAAAGCCATAAGTTAATATTTTCTTTATTCTGTGAAATATTGGCCCAGCCAGCTCCTGCTGCTGGGACAGAATGTTGTTGACACAAACAAGTGTTTGTCACTCACAGTCTGGTGACCGGGAGTCTGAGAACAGGAGCCAGTGAGAGAGGGTTTGGGGGATGAATCCTCTACCTGGGGACAGAGTGGGAACAGGGATGATGGGAGGGGGAAGAAAGCATTTTTGCCTGTTTTTATTAATAGATTAAGTCACCTTATGATGGGCTATACCTTTAGGACTTAAGAACTTCTCAAAGGATTTGGAGTTGAAACACTTGAATTTTGAGAGTGTGCATCGACAATTAGTGCTTCTCAAATATGTTTCTTATGACCTTTATCAGTGGACACTTCGGGAGAAGTAGAGGAACAGGGCTTAGAGGTAAGTTCACAGTCTGAGTCATAATGAAATTTAGTGGGATTCCCCTTCATGCATCTTTTCACCAACGGAGTTTCCAAGTCATTGTCGGAAAGCATGCTCTGTTCTGTGTATTCTGCATCTTCGTCCGCTGAGACGGTCAGCTGGACCACGTGCACAACAGGATAAAGGAGAGAAGGATCATTAGACTGAGCTCTGGAGATGCCATTCCTCCTTTGGACCTCAGCCCATGCCTTGGGTCTCATGTCACCTTAGGATGTTGCAGGCCACAAACTTGTGTCATCTGTCCTCTTGGTCATTTGTAGCCGTGTGGCCTGGTAGAAGTCATCCTCCAGGAGGCTGTTCCTCATTTTTAAAGACAAAAGTTGGATCGGGTGCTGGTTTTATTCTCAGCACCGCTGAGATTGGTAGGCCTCTTGGGAGCCAGAACCTTTTCTTAAGTCCGTCCCTGTTCTGTGCCTTAACTTCCTTGAGCCGTAGTGGCAATGCTAAGAGAGTAAGTAAGGGGAATAGCCTGTGTTGCTGAAAATCCAATTACATAACTGGGCTTTTATGCAGCATCTTATTATCAGTGGGTACATACCCACTAAGTGTTGTCTGGCTCAGGTTGCTACGTCCAGCTCAGGTTGCTATGCAATTTCTTTCCTCCCGGTCTACTGGCAGCCTGGCAAATTTCAGCTTCCCCATCCATTTGATCTGAAAGTTACAGTCTGCAAGGTGGCAAAAGCAGACGACAGTGTGAGCCTGCCTCTTCAGATTAAAACTCTGTGCCGTGAAGACGCCTGAGTCCTGCACAAGGCTGGTGCTGGTGCTGTCCCGTGAGATGCTCCCCATGCAGGCTCTGTCAGCCAGCTCATGCAGCATAATGATCCACTCCACAGAACAAGTGTCCTCCGCACTTCAAGCCTGTGGGAATCAGAGCCCAGCTGGATGGCTCTTCTGATGATCTTATTTTGTGTCACTCAGGCAGCCATGATTTTTTTTAAACAGTGATAGATAGTCTAAAATAGCCTCATTCTTACGTGTGCAGTTAGTGCTGGTTTTGGCTCAACCGCCTGTCTTTAATGGGCCGGATGCACCATAGTATTTGGAAGGATTATTCTAGGGTCCAAGCCCTGGTGCTCAAGTGCTTGTCAAGTCCTACCTGTGCTATGAAGCAAGTTACACAGCAAATGCAGAAGAAATGTGCATATGACCCAGCTGTGCATATGAAGAACAGCTCTTTTCTGTATGTAACTCCTACACCAGCCTTGGCCTCTTGTCTCTATGAGATCTTATTTCATTTTCATGATAAAAGCATTGTATTGGCTTTCTCAGCTACTCTTTTCACACAGCCCAGGCTCACCTGCCCAGGGAAGGTATCACCCCCTACGTCAATTAGCAATTGATGGAGTCGGTTCTTCCATTGAGATTCCATCTCCCCTGGTATGGCTAAGTTTCTGTCAAGTTGACAAAAGTCACTATGACATTATCCTACCAAAAACATGGAAACCACTCTCATTTGACTAAAACCATCATCTTCAGGGGCAGAATGTATTTCTTAGACTTTTATATTTTACTGTCATTCTAATCTCTTTCTATGAGCTGGGAATTACTGACAAATAATCCCTTTGCTGTTTGCTGTTTGTTTATTTGTTTAGAAAATTCAGAAATTGTGAGTTTCTGTAAAATACATAGATTGCCACAGGCATCGGTTCATCTAGACCCCACTTAGGCTGACTCTGATTCCTCCTCTGCCGCTGGATTCTGAAAGTCCAAAGAGAAGCAACCGTTTGCAAGAAGAGGGACTTCCATGTGAGAGGATCCAGCTGACGATGGAGCGAGACCCTGCTCCCATCTGGGCTTTCAGGAATTTGGCTTACAGAGGAGATTCCAGGGTCCAGACTCTGTAGCATCTGGAAAATGTCTTTTCAGTTCGCCAATGCATGTATCCATCCCCATCTCTATAGTCCCCTTGCTCCCCTCCCCCACTGCCTTCTTTCGATCACCTCTTGTTCAATGAGGATTCAGTCCTCAGTGGCAGGCCTGGGCTATCAAAGAGCCTGGCTATCTCAGGTCATCTCTTTCTCTCTCTCTTTTGATATGTATTCCTAGCACAACTTTTCCTTTGATTCCTGTGGAGTGGCTAGGTAATTAAGCAGAGGCCATGGACTAGAATACCCACACCTACCCCAGCCTGTATTCTCAATCTCTCTTACCCACCAATCACACACACTCTCTCTGGCTTGTCCACCAGCAGCCTTGAGCTTCTGTGTCGATCTCCATCATGCGATCTCCGAATATTCAGCCCCAAGTAGTGAGCCTGCTGAAAATTTGGGAGAGGATAGATGTTTAACCTTTGCACAATTAAATTATCTTCTCCTGCCTTTCCCTTTGAGAAGCTGGCTTTATTTGAACTTATACTTCATTTTCTTTCTATTTGTGTCAGCACATCTGCTAAAGGTATGACTAGCTCGAATCATAGTGCAAACAGGAAGAAAGATTAGAGCTCCATGTTATGAAGCTGGAATATGGCAAGGAGACCGGTGTGTTATATTGCAAAATTGGACCTCACATGTAGACAATATTCTGTATGCATGTGTGTCTATGTGTGTGTATGTGTGTCTATGTGTGGGTATGTGTGTCCATGTGTGGGTATGTGTGTCTATGTACATGTAAGTACAAGTGCCAGTGTGGGGCAGCAAAGAGCTTTAGGTCACCTGGAGGTGGAATTATGGGTGATTGTGAGCCGCCAGAAGTGTGTGCTGGGAAGTGAACTCCCATCTCTTACAAGAGTAGCATGCCATTTCTCTGGCCCTTGAATCTCACTTTTAACAGCACGTTCTTATCGTCTTGAGAAAGCATGTTTTCTTTTTCAGGGCCCTTTGTTTCTTATAAATACATACATACTTTCGCGTGTCCGTGAGTAGCATAAGCAGGATGAACTATGGGTAGCCACCCTGTTAACACCCACAGACGCTCGTTGCTTCCTGGTGCATCTAACTCAAATTTCTTGGAACATTAAGACAAAACCACAGTGTTTTGAAAACATAAGTCTAAACTGAAATATTCAAGACAGATAGCAGAACTGGAGGGCGATGTATGATCTTCCCCCCAAACATATTAAACTCTTCATTCCCAGGTCTTTTAATTTCACCCTCTGTGCTAGAAATTGAATAATTTTTCTTCCTAGTAATGACTGAGACTTGAATATAGTCTCTTTCATGTACTGGCTGTGCGACTCTTAACCTCTTAGATTTTGTTTTGGCATGATAATATTTCAGATACATATATGCATGCAGGGGTGCAAATAAATCATGATACTATGTGCTTAGCCTTCAAAAGTCTGACCGTAGGGTTCACCATGGTAAAAATTCTCCAGTGGTTGTAAAACCTTTCCCTTGACCTGGAGATGAGTTCAAAGGTGGGGAAGTTCTACTCTCAGCTGGGAAATCACCCAGGCTCCTGTGCAATGGGACCTGCATGCCGGGAGGCTCCTCACTTTCTATTGTCTCGAAGCTTGTAAGGAAGACACCACCGTGGTCTTGACCTCTCCTTATAGAATCACTCCTGCCACGCCTTGCCACGACAACTGGACTCTACAATGGCAACTTACTGTAGATCCCAGCAAAACAGATTTTCCTGGATGCCCAATCCTGTGGAGAAGCCTTGATGAGGGAAACCAAAGTTGTTCCGAGAGTCCAGCCGGGGAGAGTTGACATAGCACCAGGAGCTGGGAGCAATGCTGCCCTTCCAAGCATCTCCCAGGTCATCTCATTGCCATGGTCCTGGTTAGCTGGACACCCCAGAGACTCTGCCACTCATTCTCTTGTTTTAACTTCACAACTGACTTAAGACGTTCCATCTCAGCTCACAATCAGGCAGGACGGAGCTATGTTTGTTCTTGTTAGCCCAGGAGATGGAGGAGTCAATGAAAACTCCATCAGGTGATGGAATTTTATCCTCTGGTGGCAGAATCAGCAAAGATGAAGGGCTGAACATACTACAGGGGTTTCCAGGGCTCCATGTTTGCTCTGGATTGTGAGTAACTGCTGACTCACCCTGATTTGTCATTTAGTAGGGTGTTGGAAAGGTTTAGAACAGAGGAATTTCCACCATACCACATGACCTGTGTGACAGAGACTCCTGGAGATGCACTGGGTTCGTTGGCATGGATAGCTGAAGCACCTTAGAGTCTGAAGATGCTTTTCCCCAGATTGTCCATGATCAGGATATTTAAAGGAATCTGCCCTCCCAGGTCTTCCAAACAAGGAAAGATGCAGTTTTTCTAGAGTGTGGAGTTTAGATAGCAAAAATGATCCCTCCTAACAAAACAAAGTTTATATAACTAAGGACATAAAATTATGCATGAAAAGGCTGGTAATGGACTAGAGGAACGGCTCAGAGTCAGAACACCTACCTGCCATGCAGGGCCCTGAGTTGGATCCTTACCAATGCAAAACCAAGATAATAAGGAGAATGAGTATGAGAATAAAAACAGTATTCAATTGGAATAAGAATATATCAAAACAAATTTTAAAAATTAAGTTGACAAGTATCAAAAATGTTAAAATAACTAGAAAGGACAGAAATCTTTTTATACTAGAGATGCTCATTTCAAAACCTTATTTCTTACAAATTCCCTTACAGTTTCATAGCATAATGATATTTGAGATGTTTTCTATAGAGAGCTAGATGACAATTCCATCTTTTAGCATGACTGACTGAAAATTGATTTTTGTTTTTAGGAGTTGAGATATATTGGTGCTATGATTTAGATGGGCGCTTTATATTATAAAAGTTCGCACATGCTCCCCAAAGGTGTGACCCGCAAAGTGATGCTTCTGGAAGGTGGTGGAGCCTCAGACACTGTGAGCTAAAATAACTCCCTTCTTTTCTTAAGTTGCTCTGCTTTTGTCAGAGTGACATGAGACTGACGCCCATAGCCCGGCCTGCGTCGTGTGCCTCCTACTTCTTGCTAAGGTTTTTGTTTTCTCCGAACATGATCCTTAATCTTTGGTACATTACCGATTTGGAGCACCTCCTCGACCACCTGGCTAAAGTGACACCAGCCCTGGAGTACCTCAGCCTGCTGGGAAATGTGGCATGCCCCAATGAGCTGGTCAGCTTGGAGAAGGATGAGGAAGACTATAAGAGATACAGGTGAGTGTTCATATGGTGGCAGAAAGGAACAGGAGCCTCTGGGCACTGATAGTGTGGGCTGCAGAGTCAATGTTTGAAAGTGCCCGCGGACTTCTGGTGATTGTGTTAAACTGTTGTCTTTCAGAGACAGAGTCATTTTCTTTGTTTGTTGGGTTTATAGGAGCTGAGATCAGGGACTGAGAAATAGTTCTCATCATAGGCTAGTTCATATGCATTTTAGATTTTATAAGTTACAAGCTCTTGGAAACAGCCCTAGAGAGGTTGGGAAAAGAGGGAAATGGTTAGAGAAGGGCTTGTCTTACTGTGCTTTATGTAAAAATCTGGTGACCTACAAAGAAATGTAACAGGAATAATCATTGTGAATCAGGGCAAAATTGTAATGCTGAAAGTTATAGATTTGGAAAGAGGATAAAAAAGGAAGAAAGAAAAAGCCCAACACAGAGACATGAATAACATAAAGCAGGGATTCAGGTGTATTTCTGTAAAGAAGAATTTTTGACATTAGTTCATTTGGAAGTTTCATGATTAATTTTGTAGAGCTTTGAGTATATTCTTACACTGACTCAGAACAAATAAGAACCCTGCTTGAAGGAAAAATTGTTCTTGAAGGTCTTTCTCCACTAGAGAATTTTCCAACCATGGTGCGATATTCTAGATTTGAGTGTGACTTTTGATTGGAGAAATCCAGTTGCTGTCTGGCCAAGACCCATTGCTCATTTCTCACTTTGAATTGTTTAATTGCTTAGAAGTTAATTGATTTCTATAACTTTGTTTTCAACTTTTAATCCTGAAGTTGTCTAATACAAGATGGTACCTTCTTATACAAACATTTTTTAGAATTGCATTTGTTGTTTGACTATAGTTCTCAGCGTATATTAATTGTCACATTAATGAGATTCTTTGTTATATTTTCATATATATTATATACCTACTGCTCTTAAATAGTATCAGACTCTCACGACTTCCTCTGTACCGTGCATCTCCCTGCTCCCTCCTGTCCACTTCCCTTTCTGCTGTGGTGTCTCCACCACCACTTGAGATTGTGTTGGTGGTGGTGTTATTTAGCTCTAGTTCCACACAGAAGGTAAAGCACATGAGACTTCTTTACTCTGCGTAATGACCTTTAGTTCTATGCATTTTCTTGCAGACAACATGATTTTGTTCTTCATTATGGCTAAATTCTCCGTTGTCTGTAAATATATGTTCTTTATCCTTTCGTCTTTTAGTAGGTACCTAGATTTCTTCTTGGAGGAAATTTTAAAGTATATCTTGGAAGGTCAAATCCAAAATAGTTTATCTAATAAGCATGTTTTTAAATAATTTTTTGAAAATTTCTTCTTTACTTTCTGATGTTTTTCTTTATATTTTTGTTTCATTCATAATATATATGTATATATATAGCTTTTGCATATATATGAATATGCATGAGTATTATCTACTTCTATGTGTGTATACTCACATTCACATATATGTTCATTTATTTATCATGCAACCAAACATAGTATGTGAATACAAGCGTAGAGAAATTGTTTTCTTTTCTTAGAAGGGGAGAGAGCAAGTGGGAGGAATTTTCTGCTTCCACCTTGTTCTGTTTGGTCTCAGATATAGGGTTCTAAGGGTACAAATGAGGAGAAGAGCAAATTCTTCGTTGTTGATTTTGGAACTGGTCAGATTGACTAAGCTTCACCGTACAAGCAGTGAGATTAGAAAACCTAATGTGGGGTTCCATTTTGACAGAAAGACCTCTAAAGCCGGGGTGACTGTCTAGTTCAATGGTCCTTAATGACTCTGGGTCAGCTCAGAGTCTATGATTCTTTTGGCAGCAAATCCATGTTTGGGTTTACCGTCTGACCGTGTTGCGCACGCACCATACACATCCATCTCACTGCTGTAGACTTGCCACATTGAGAGAACAGTTCCCAGTGAGTAAAGGGTAGGTCCCTGTTTTCTGAAGCCCAGTACAAACCTAAAGTCATATTTAACATGGAAAACTGGCTGGGGACTATACTGGAGATGTTTGGAATCACATGCTCTTCTTAGAATTGTGTATTTCAAGGTTGTCACGGGGATCTTTGAGTCCCATGCCATCCACTGCCCTTTTGGTACCAGATCAGTTAGCAAGCAACAGCTCTCATCCAGACGCACTCCAGGTCTCTGTCACGGGGCACAGTTTTTGCAGAGGCTTTCTTTCTGTAAGAGCGATCCTTCTTAGGGATTCACCTGGGCGACCTCCGAAGCATGTCCTCCCACCCCAGGTCTGCGTTGCTGGCAGGACCTGAGAGATGGAGCTGGGAAGGCTGTTTGTTAGTGTGTTTATGACAGTGTTGCCGGGAGGGACTTGATTCTAGAGCTTGCACACAGCCCAAATCACATCTAGCCACAATTGCCTTTGAAACCCCATAAGTCATCTACACAGTGACTGCTAGCTCCTCACACTGGGAGAAAAGGCAGCAGCCAGGAACCATAGAGACAGTAATGCACTCCTACCCAGTTACACCTTCACTGCATCATGAGGGGGAAATGCTAGGTTGCTCTTCTAACGTGTTTAAATCTTTTATTCATCTTTTTTATTGTTGGCTTGATAAGTTGTTAGCCTTGCATTTGGAAGAAGGGGGTACAGGCCAGATGCAGCTCAGCTCTGTGGTCTTTTGGTAGCCCCACTTTCTTTACCCCAGGGGGTGAGTCATTTACCCCTGAGAAACTGTAGGGTTTCCCTATATGACTTTTGAAATCGGAGTTCCTGTGGCCTATGCACTTATACACAGCAATGCAGCTGCCTTCTCCAAGTTGGGCAAACTTTTCCTGGCCCGTCATCCACAAAGTGTGAGGTCCGCCTTCTTTCTGCTGTTCCTGAGATGGTCTTAGTGGAGCCCCTGTGTGAATTTATACGATCTTTTTTTTTTTTTGATAGGAAATGACTTAAGCAGAGAATGATGTTTCTACAGTTTACTGGGTTTCACTTTAAGTATGTTTTCTGACAGTGCTTCTTCTATTAATCATGCAAGCAGTAGAGGGAGCCTTAAAGGAGTGCCTTCAGAAGCAAGAACCTGTGGTTCATTTAGAGCTGTTGAAAAAATTTTCCAATTGATTGGCATCCTCTGTGGTCATGTGATGTAATATTTATATCACCCAGCCGTCCATCAAAACAAGTATGCCTTGTTTTATTCTCAGGGGAGATGTTGATTTCAAAGATTTCAGTTCAGTTGTTGTTTGTGTTGTGGCCAAGCACCAGACCTGGGGTGGGAAGTGACTAGGTTTCTGCGTCTTGTGCTGTCTGCTCCATCTTTTCTTCCCCATGCCCCAGTGCCCACCCTTTTGGTTTCCTCACTTCTTAACCTCTGTGTGCCCGCTTGGCTTTTCTTGTCATGTATTCCCACAGTAAACCAGGCTCGCATTCCTCTGTGAACACAGACATACTACTGTGAGGTTGGACAGAGCCCTGGACCTGCTGGGGTAGGAGTGTAACCATGTCTGGGCTTCCCTCTGCCTTTTGTCACTGCTTATGGCTGAGACACAGCGATGCTCACCTTATCACAGGGCCTTAAAGACACGTGTATTTCCCTGTGTGGATACAATGCTGCCATTCTGGGATGAGCATTGAATGGACATGAACTTGGACTTCTTGCAGATTTTGATACCATCCAAAATCAAAATAATACGTCAGGGTGGGAGACCTGGCGCTCAGAATAGGTTGTCTTTCCTGGTCAATCTTCAAGGGCCTGGGAGATGGACAGATTTCCCTGTAGACAGAGAGGGAGTGCGCCATGACCAGGTGATAATAGACGGTGAAATTCCAGGATGGCCAGCTTCTTCCTCACACTCCTGACTTCAGAGAAAAGTCTGTCAGCTTAAAAACGAAGACTTTTATCCCACCACCATGGATCTCAGTCTACAGGCAAGTTCAAACCATGTCAGGACATGCTTATCCCAAGGTATGGACCTATCAACCTTCCTGCCATTGTTCAAACAGACCAACCCGGAACTCGGTGAGAATGACCCCCTTCACAGACCCTTAAAACCATCAGCCCTCAAGGAGATCCTGGGCTGTTTCCCGAGTTCCTCTGCCCTGTCTGTTTCCCAGGATGCCTGCTGTATCTGTGTCTCTTCACCCTGATAAAAGTCTGTCTCCCACTGCTTCTTCTGTCTGCTCCTGCTCACTGTGTGTAAGATTCCTCTGCCTCTCCCTGTCTCGCTCCAGATATTTCCTGCCTTCTAATACTTTACCTGGCAGAGAAAACAAACCCCATCAAGACCCCTAGATAGTTTCACTTTCTTGACTTTTTTTCTTTTTCTTCAGGAAGAAAGATGACTGAAAGTCAACAGAGAATAAATGCTGAATGTCACCTTTCAAATAAGAAATTGGGGCTCTCAGGCTCGGGACTGTTCTTTTGCAACACGCTCTGGTGTGCATTTTCTTTCAATTTCTGTTCCTTCAGGGCTCCGGTTGCACACCCCCACCCCCAAGTGGGTCTCTCTCTATTCCTTAAAACTTTAAATTATTTAAAATACATGCCTTTTCTTTGTTCCCTGGTAGGCAGCAGCCCTTGAGGCCTGCCCACTGTCTGTAGCACCCCACCAAAAGAAAGGTGGGAGGGACCCTCCAGTGGCGTCTGGGGCCACCTTGGGCTACCACCCAAGGCTGTTTCCCACTAAATGGGAGCTGTAAAACCTGTGGCTTATATAACCCAGCTAGCATTCCTCGGCTAATCTGCAATCTTGGCTTTGATGATCACAAGAAAGCAAAGGTCATGACACAGAGATCAAAGGGACAGAAGCCCACACAGTAATTGCTGGTTCCCCTCCATACAGGGCCTTGGACAGTCCTGTGGGTGTATTGTTTGCACAGAGACTTCAAACGTGCTGTGGTGACCTGTGAGCAAAATCAGCTGGCCTTTTCCAGTCAGCAGGCCAATTCATTAATTCTGTAGGTGAGCTCACCTCGGCTCATTAGCGTGAGATCATTGTTGTCTCTCAGAGCATCTGGAGCTGCCCCACTCAGT